GTGTCATGGAAACAATTGACAACAATAGATCCGGCCTATTTTTTGTGCATGGTCATGGTGGCACAGGTAAAACTTTTTTGTGGACAACCATCATTGCTAAAATAAGATCCCAAAATCAGATTGTTTTGGCGGTGGCTTCATCTGGAATTGCCTCCCTCTTGCTACCTGGTGGAAGAACGGCTCACTCTAGATTTAAAATTCCCATCAACATCACAGATTGTTCAGTTTGTGAAATAAAAAAAGGGACTCATCTTGCAAAACTAATCATTGAAGCTGTTCTTATTCTTTGGGACGAAGCCCCCATGAATCATAAAACAATGTTTTGAAACTCTTGATAGATCTCTTCGTGATGTTCTTAAAGGGTCAAGACCAGGTTTCGACCATTTGCCATTTGGGGGTAAGCCGATTCTTTTTGGAGGTGATTTCAGGCAAATTCTTCCTGTTGTCCCAAACGGAAGCGTCGCTGACATTGTTGAAGCTTCATTGACAAGTTCATATCTTTGGCCCTATTTAACTATATTCTTTTTGAAGCAAAATATGAGACTTTCAAAGACAGGTTTGGACGAAAGGGAAAAACAAGAACTTGCTCATTTTGCAAAGTGGATATTAGACATTGGCAATGGTACTGTTGTCGAATCTTTATCTTCAACTGATGAAGAAAGCTGTTGGGTTCAGATACCCGAACAATTCCTTATTCGTTTTGATGAAGATCCCATCAAAGCCATGGTTTCAGCTGTGTATACGGATTTCATGACAAATTTTCAAGATGTCCCGTATTTGAAAGAGAGAGCTATTGTGACACCACGTAATGATACAGCTGCTGGAATAAATGATTTTCTGTTGGGTATGGTACCCGGTGAAAGTCGTACCTATCTCAGTTTTGATTCAGTGTCTTCTTCAACAGAAAATTTAGAGAATTTAGACGTGCTTTATCCAACAGAATTTCTAAACCAACTTGATTTACCTGGTTTGCCGCATCACAAGTTGGTTTTGAAAGTTGGCACCCCAGTGATGTTGATCAGGAATTTAAACCAAAGTGTTGGGTTGTGTAACGGAACACGATTGGTTGTGATCCAATTAAACGACAGAATTATACAAGCAAAAATCATTACAGGAAGCAACATTGGTGAAAAAGTTTTTATCCCCAGGATAATTACTGAATCATCTCAGCACAAATTTCCCTTTATCTTGCGAAGGCGACAGTTCCCTCTAAAAATTTGTTATGCGATGACAATCAACAAAAGTCAAGGACAATCCTTGAAAATTGTCGGTTTGTATCTATCCCAACCTGTTTTTTCTCATGGGCAACTATATGTTGCGGTGTCTAGAGTCACCTCAAAAAAAGGTCTCAAAATTGTTATCACTCATGATTCCGACATGCCTTACGGCTATACAAAAAAACATAGTTTATAAAGATGTTTTGAAACATTTGCATGAAGGTATAACTTTGCATTATTATTTTGTCCTTTTATTTATTTTTCTAAACATGACTCTGCCGTTACTTTGATAAATCAGCTTAGTAAGTTTTCAATTTAATTTGGTTCTCAATTTTTATTCTATTTAGATTGATGGAGATGATGCCGCTTCATTTTCCAATACCATACTAGCCAGCAAACAAGCTCCAAATCAGGGTTTGCAGGTTGGTGATCAAAATGTGATTGTAATCAATATTTATATATAGATAAATAACTGAAAGTTTTAGTTTCAGAGATGAAATAGGTATGAGTGCTTATTGAAATCTGTTCTATTGTGGTTTTTTTTTGCAGGAAAAGCAAGAAATTACAATTGAAAAAGAAAAGTGTAATAAGCAGAAATGTATCACCATTGTGAAAGCACTGCAGCTTTTTGGTGAGCTATCTGTTGTATTATATCCTTTGTCTTTCTATTTGCAAACTTTTATTTAAATCCTAGCATAATAGGTAACTGCAATTTATTTTTGGATTTGGTTCTTCACTGATGGGATGTTGTGGGGGCGTGATTTGCGGGAGATAGGGGAGGGGATTGGGTGCAGAGAGAGGTGAGGGCAGGTGCACGATTAGGGGGACAGAAAGAGAGTTGATTGGGTCCACCATGAACAAAGCTCCTTTGAAGTTCGAAAGCCCGATATGAAATGCAATTTCCATAATCCTGTTCGCCCTGAAATCCGACAATGTCCTCATCTCCTCTCGCGACCTGTAAGTGTTACTCCACTTTGGTTCTCAGTAATATGGAGTTTGTAGCACTTTTGGCTTTTCAATTCTAAAAATTTATTCTTTAAATTCTTTTTTGCAGATATTAAGATTGTACGACCTGGAAGTGACGGGCATACCAAATGGATCCATGGATGGATGAAACTATGAAGAAGACTCATGTCAGCCGCCAAGCTACCCGAAAAGTGAGGCTTCAAATTTGAGTTGTCTTTCATATCTGTGTGTGTGATTTTGATTTCTTTGGTTCTGGATGGGTTTTGATTTCTTTGATTCTGGGTGGATTTTGATTTCTTTGATTTCTGAGTTGGCTAATTTATGTGCTCATTTATTTCTTTATACAGCTTCCAAATCTTGCGTGGATTTTTCAATGAGTTGCACACCTCAATTCGGTTGTTGCGGTTGACAGGATTAAAGCCCAGTTTCAGCAACATTTACTCCCAAATCGACTGTTTAACAGATAGGTATTTTCTTTTGCTTTGTTGTTGACAAAATGAAAGCCTGTTATGTAAATTGATCGTTTTTATCTCGATTTTTTGTATTAATTGGACGACAGTGATCCTGACATGGCAGATCCTCTTCTTCAATGGTAAATGACTGAAAAATATTGTCCCATCACCGCGGAAAATGAGCTGTCCATTGTGACCATAATCCATGGAGGTAATCTCACCGTCAAATATTTTATGAATGACTCTCCCACTGTTAAAATTGAAAACTTGAAATATAGGTGTAAAAGTTCCACCAAACAAATACAATCAATTAAATTGATAATATCCTTGCAACCCTATAACATTATTGGAATAAAAAAAACAAAAAAAATACCTCCCTCATGTTTCATAAAAAGGATAAGCAAATATGAAAGTAACAATATAAACTTTTTATATGGGGATGTCTAATAAGATGTTCCATTGTGATTGTAATGCAATGCATGCAATAAATGGCGTTTTGTTCATCTTATCAGGAGCAGTAAAATCTTTAGTTATAAAGTATGAATCCGTGTTCATATTAATTTGAGATCCAAGATGTTTTTTAGACTAAAAGAAAGAGTTATAAAGTAAATATGGCTGCAGCACCATTGGACCAGAAGACCACATACTTTAACAATATATGATGAAAACTACTCATTGTTCTCTTATTCATTTTCTAATTCTTCTCTTTAAGATATAATATGAAAATCTTATTTCAAAATTGTGTTTTTTCCCTTCAGAAAAAATTTGGGCTATAAGAGCTCAGTGCAAAGCTTCCTGTAAGCATGGGACAAAACCAAGGCACAGTTCCACGCAAGGTGGTTCAATCGTTCATTTTCGTCTAATTGGTACTTGCCCTCCAATTATTAGATTTCTTGCAATTTTACTTTTGCAGTGCTCTTATAGTTTGTCATTTTGTTTTGAGATGCTTTTAATTCTTATTACATAGGGGAGCAATAGTTCATGTGTGTGAATTTTTGTTTGGTTGTGTTTGGGGTTCAGAAGTGGATCCATTATGCATGGATAGCTGGCTGTCAGCTTATCCCATGTATCTCTTATGTTTTCACTTTATTAATGTGCTGAATTATGGTTTCTCTCTAAATTGAAGAACTAAAAATCGCAACCAATCAAAAAAGTAATCAGATTATGAAATGAGTACTTTGCTTTCTCATCATTTGTCTGTTTTTGTAATTTTCATTTATTCATCTTCTTTTGACACTCTATTCAATTGTATTTTTGGTTTTCCCTGCTTCTTTTATTTTATGCTTGCATGTTCTTTTGTATGCCTGATGTCTTTCTCTACAAGCTATGCATGAAGATTTGTTGTTGTTCTCAACTAATAGATATAATTTCACGAATTATGTTTTTAAAGTCAGGGAAAAGACTTCTTCAGCATAACTGGGGTTGCCGTGGGGTTGCTGGGACCTGTTTTCACTACAAATAGGATGTATCTTTTATATAAAAGAAAAAAATGGTGAGTTCACAAAATTTCATTCTTCATCTTGATTTCTTTGATCATACTTTTTCTTTCATTTTGATTCTTCCGTTAGCTTTGCTAATTGCTACCACTCAATTTGCAATTTAACATCAATTACATGCTAAATGAACTTTAGAGATCAAGTAGGGAGTGGAATGAGAGGAAAAGTCGTCACTTTCTCTCAGCTCTCTCTAGACAAGGTTTCCAAATAGTTTTCCCTTATTTTTTATAATTGTTTTTTTTTAGTTTAATGGGATGGAATTAAATAGTTAAGCTACCATACTAATGAATGTGCTTTATTGAATTTTTAGTAATCAGAATGTGACAAAATGAACACCTCTTTGTGTTTTTAATTTTTCTCACCTTTTCGGATTCAATCCCATGCCGCCATGTCCAGCTCGCTCGGTTACCATAATTGACACAAAAATTGGAAGTACCATATACCCAGTCACAAACACTCAGGAAATCACAGCCACGTGAAAAGAAGCTTCCTTTTTTTGCTGGTCAAAGAAAGCTACTTCCTTTAAAAACCAGAAAAGTCAAAGCGACTGCCTTTTCTCTCTCTTCTCTCATCACCATCACTTTTTGTGTCTAATTGGAGTAAGTGTTTTCGGATGCCCCTACTTTGAATCTTCAATTTTTTTCCCTGCGTCTTTATTTACATTCTCAGCTTTTACACTACAACCGTTAGATCTGTTATTTTGTTTTCTCTCTCTTATTTTTTTTTGGTTTTCAACAATAAAGTCATCATCTTGCTTCCCCATTAACATTTAGCGCAAATAAACAAATTCAAGTTTTATATTGGGTTTAATGCATGCCCAAGATTGGATTTTGGGCAAAGTTTTTGAAAGTTAATGGTTACATTGCTGACGATTAATATGTAAACATGTTAAATTCAACCAGGTGCATAGACTTGAATTGCAACGTTACATTTCCACTTTTATTTATAATTGCACCATAGAGAACCACTATAATTCTGAATATTGTTATGCTAATTAAACGCTTAATAAATTTTGTAAAAAAAAAAAAAGATTGTATATGGTTCCCACAAATTTAGAATGTGCAAGAACTAGGAAAAAGAATTTGTATACATTGTTTGTTCATTTAATTTTGCTAAATATTAATTTTACTCTAATTGTTTGCTTTGTGTTTTAGGTTTTTGGAATTTTGATGTTTGGTAGTTATTTTGTGTTTCGATTAAAGCATTTGGTAATCTATGACTCTGTTGGTGCATGATCTCAGGATTCCAAATATAGTTCTCAAACTATATTTTGGGATCCCACTTCATATGCCAATACATTTTGTAATATGGATCAATGAAATTAATTGCTAATTTTTAGACTTTTGCATAACCTGATTTCTGAGTTCGACTCTGCAAATAATTTTAAAATACAGTATAACCTGATTTCTTAGTGGTTTGGATTTATGTAATCTCATCATCTCATGGTTTCTTTTTGTTGAGCAGAAAGCTTGGGAAATTGTACAGGTCCCATTCAAGAATTTGGTGATGATGGTTTCATGATTTGGATGGCTGGGAGTATAGTGTATTTGTTTAGCACTGAATCACATTTTCCGCTCTTTGGCAACCCATAATCACCTTACATGGTGTAGAGAAGGGTAAATGATTCTTATTCTGTTAATTGGTCTGTATGTGTTTGATTCTCCACTTCAACTCCTTTATTTGGTAGTGTTATATATTCTGTTCATACAGTATAGACTAATGCTTAAATTAGATATTGCTAAACTTCTAAATCCTTAGCTGCTCTACCTTGAATACATTTCGAGTTATTTTATATAAGATTTTCCCTTATGAACAAGTAAACTAAATGGAGTGATTCTTATATTTCTTAAGATTTGGTTCCCCAAAATGATTGTGACGATGATGAAAAATGTTTATTATGTGATTTTAAAAAAAAAAGGGTCAAATACAGTAAAAGTAACTCAAACTATGTCATTCAGGGAGGGAGGGAGGGAGGGAGAGACAGAGAAATGGATTTGGTGAGAGTAAGGCATGCGGCTCGCAAGCAGACAGAGTTCTAGGGTTTAAGAGTTGGTTTCAAGAAAGTGAACGGGCTAGAGTGGGGGTAAGGCTTGGGCTGGGTTTGTGCAATGGTGCTGGATTAGTTACAGACAGAGAAGGCGATGAGGACGTGGAATGTCAGGGACAGGAAGGGAGAGGGAGGTCTGCCAAAAATTAGGATTGATGGTGAGGAGATTTTAGGGCAGGCATGAGGCCATGCTGCCTCTGAGATAGAGATAGAGAGAGACACAGAGAGAGAGACAGAGCGAGAAAGGGCGGGATTTCACAGATTTGCAAATTCATCCCCTTGCTGACAGTTCCGATCTGATTTGAAGATTTGTCAACTGGCTATAATTTCATGGTAGCTTGGTTTAAAGCGGTTCCAAAATATGGGATCGTTTGGAATATGTTCCCCTCTCTCTCCATCTCAGATCTCTGCAGTTTCATAAATTAGGGTCACAAATTTCTCTCTAACTTCTGATTTTTTAATTTGTGCTCAGTTTTTTGTTTTGTTCAGATTTTCGACCTATGGTCTGATTGACATTGGGTTTGCTCGAGTTTACAGATCTATGTGTGCAGCAAGCAAAATCCTTTCATTCATATGAGCTTCTTGATCCTCTTTAACTTCACAGCAGCTGACCTACCTGGGTCAGTAATCTTAAATTGATTTGTTAATTTCTGTTGTTAAATGGTTATCTTTAATTGATTCCTTCCAGGTTATTTTCGTCTGCAGCTTTTCTTTCGGCTCCAGAATACCATATGGAGACATATCATCTTTCTCTTCTCTCTCTCTCTCTCTCTTTCTCTCTTCATGATCTGTGTCTTTCTTTCTTTAGGTGCGCACCATCAGGGTGTATTATTCTTTGTTTTCAGGTCAGTTTCCTTTTTTTTTTTTTTTTGGTTTTTTTTGTAGGTTTTTAGTTCGTTAATTTGTCACTATGTTTAGATTTTTCGTTCGTGCATGATTAAATGGGCATTCGGTTTTGGTTGTTGAAAATATGATTTTTTTTTTCTGCTTAAGCTTCTTCCTCTTTTTTCTAGAATTTTTGGATTTCAGTTGCAACGGTAAACAGAACACTAAAATCGATATTGGCAGTTGTATTAATGCATTTTCATTTTCGTTGCTTTGCAGGATAGGTGCATTGAGACCTAAAAATGTATGCGTGAACTTCATACATTTTTGTGAGGCTCGGAACCTTGAAGGGTAAGTGTTTTTGCTTTGTTGTGATGTTAAAATGATGTGAGTGTTGGGGTTGGGGAAGGATACTGGTTCTTCCAGATTACTGGATTATGGTTGTTAAATTGACACGTTCTTAGATTATTGGATTACGGTTATTTACCTTCTCTTTGAGTTTAGCATGTTTGAGAATTGATAATGGATTTACTATGTTTCAGGATTTTGGATCGTTGGAGTAAAAACTTGGTTCTTTGGCATTTGAAGGTATATAATCATACACCTTTTTTTGTTCAGAGCTTAATCAAGAGGACAGCCTTATTTAGATTTTCTTCTCTGTGAAAAAGTGAATTAGACCTCAATTTTTTTAGCATTCTCTAATTTCTGTGATGTTTGATATGTATTTTATGGTTTGTGACATCTGTTATACCAATGTTTACTAAACTATGATTCATGTTTTTTATTATAGGGCTAAACATGTTCGTCCACCGAAAAAATGACTGACTAGAGTCTCCATTATAAATTGCCACAAAGTTGCTCTGCCGTTTTTTGCCTTTAAAACATGTACAGCTGAAAACTTAGTTGTTGAAGCAACAACAGAACCTTTTTTTGAGTTTTTTGTAACTGCTTAAACAAGTGCCTAGATTCTAGAGTATGTATTTTGTCACCTTAACTATAGGGGAAAATATGTGTCAACTACATCTTCCTTTTGTAACTAACAAAAACAGGCATCCTACATCTTTATTCCTTTGAACATTTGGCTTTCTTTTTTGTAAGTACTTAAACAGGTGCCTAAGACTGCAAGGCCTGTATTTTGTCACTATAACTACAAGGGAAAAAATATGTGTGTGAACTACCACTTTCTTTTATAACTTATGGAAACAAGCATACTGCATCTTTGTTACTTTGAACATTTATACTTGAAAGATTAGCTTCCAAAAAAATTGCTTTTTATTTAATGTTGATATGCGTACTGTTTTTAGTTAATAGAAATTGGCTGGTAATTAACAATATTACCATTTAGATGCCTTCAATTGTTCTTATTGAAAGTATTTAGTTGAATTCTACTATTTACAGCAAGCCATATATACAATGATGTAATTCTAAAAGTAGAGATTTAATGGCATTACTATGTTTTTAGTTCAATTCAATGATACAAACTGTTAATTTCCTTTACAGTTACTTTTATTTCAAGACACTGCACTCTTCTTTCAATCCCACATTCTTATAAATCCTCAAAATATTATTTTTACGCAGAATTAGTTTTGCAAAATACACACGACGGTGTTAAAATTGAGAGTTATTAAAATAATATGATTTCCCTGGAATCTGACGGTGTTAAATTGCAACAACTAAATTTTTTTCCGTTGTATTAAATTTTCGAAGCGCTTCCTTTACACTTTTGATAACTTAGCAGCTGCAAGAAAAGCACAAGCAAATAAATTTTTATTTTACTGCAGCTAGGGGTAGATGGGTTAGGAAAGTGGGAAATGGACCAGTTTTTGTTTTTTATTCCTTGAGTCCATTATTTTGTAAGTGGTTTGCCGACTCCTTAATTTAATAAGATTAGTTTAGCACTTTGTGATAACAAAACAATTTAAAAGTTGAAAAACCTTATCCACTCATCTATTCTATTAAACCTTAAAGATACCTCCCAATATAAACATAAATTAAATATAACTAAAAAAAATACAAATAAAACAAACAATACTAGAGAAAGCAATGTCATCCACAAAAACCAGAAGAAGGACAATACCAGATCTGATGTTGACCTCTTTACATTGAAGATTGATTTTTTTTTAAAACCGGCTCCTTTCTTTTCTCCTATTTCGGCTCAACTACATGCTGCTACACCTTTCAATCGACTGGGTTAGGTTGCTAATTCTCAAAAGTTCAGAGAGTAAATTTGTCCATATTGTTTAGCAAGGAGCCACTCGATTTCACACTATTTACAACAAAGCTGTAAGGTTTTGCCTCATATTGGGGCTGGGTTAGAAGGGTAATTTTATCCTGTTTGTTTGTGACAGATTGCGGTGGGTTTACGTTTGCTGTCATTCACTGAGCTTTTCGGGGATGGGAGGCCATGCCTCCGATAGAAAGAGAGAGAGACACAGCGAGAGAGAGAGGGAGAGGGAGGACTGGGGATCTCAGTGTCATTGCTGCAGATCCTCGATTTCATGAGTGGGGAAGGAGAAAGAGAGAGAGCAGAGAGCAACATGCGTTTTTTGAGGTTAACGAGTTACCCCACGGGGTTGGTGAACAGAGGATGTCTGAGAGAGGTATGGGAGAGGAGAGGGTTTTCAGTTTTGTCCTCTGATTCAACAGGTAAAATACTGTTGAGAAATCATTGTTTGTTGTTTGTTTCCCATTACCTTTGTTAAAACTGTGATTGACATTTTTTTTGTTTCAATAAAATTGTAATGGATGTTTATAACCTGCTTAGTTGGGTATTAGCAAGATAGATCTGTTTAGTGCACTGTTTGGTACATTGTTACAGTCAGGTTCGTGTCTTTTAAACTTAGGGTGTCGCACTGTTCGCATTTCTGTTTTCTTCATGCTTTGCTGCTGTTTCCTTCTCAGCAAGTCGAATTGAGGTTCCTTTTCTGCTTTACATCCTTTGAATCTCCCTCTCTTGCTAGGTTGTTTCTTTGAATATCCCTCTCTTGCTAGGTTGTTTCTCCATGTTTTGTTGCTTCTGTATTTGTGCGATAAGAATGTTTGAAGACTGTTTTATTTATTGTTTTGCTCCTCTGTTGCTAGGTAGTATAATTTTGGAACAAGTTTCTTCTCTATGTGTTCAAATCCATCATTGTTTTTTTGTTCTTCAGTTTCTTTTTCACCATTTGCTCTCTTCTGATCATTGATAGTTTAATAGCACTTGCAAATTCAGCACAAACAAATTATCTACTCTGTTTATTTCTACTAAGCAATATTTTTCTTTGCCGAGATTATGTCTAACTTTAGCATACTTGAAGCCGGTATGCTATGCCATCAGTTGCTTCTAATTTTGTAAACAGTTAATATTATCTTAAAAGTGAAATTATGAATCCTTATAATTCAAATGCCAATGATTCGAAGCTCATGACTGCATTATTATAGCTCTGTAAGACTTATACTAATGTGAATAAAAATTGCTGACATACTTGCCATGTAAACTCATATCCATTTGCTACTATTGTCCTGCTTATTTGACCACATTAAGGGTAGTGGAAGAAGATAAAGAGCTTGACTTAGTCATCCTGTTTCCTTTACATGAGGAAAGAAACATAATAAAAGTTAATCTTCCTGTCAATTTCCAGTTCATTATGGCCTTGGCCGAGGCCTCTTGCAGTTTACTCAACATTTGACTTAGGCCTTAACCTTTCGTATTCTTTATTGAACCAAATTAGTTCTGTTGGTAAAAAATGTTTGTAAATTGTTATTTTTTTTTTGGTGTGTCTTTTGGTCATTTAGCTAAAATTTCATTACATTTGGTCTTTAAATTTGAAACTCTCTGAGTTGTTAACGGATTTACTTTGTTTGCAGATTTCAGAAATTTGGATCGTTGCAAGAAGAAGCTGGTTCTATGCCGTTTTGAGGTATATAATTATACGCAATCGCTTTTATTCAAAACCTAATAAGCTATCTACCTTTTTTTATTTATATTTGTGAAGCTTTCATGTTTGGAATTTAAATATATAATTCAATTTTTGTCGTTTGAGCTTATTTTGGAACTAAGTTTCTTCCTATTTAGTCTGCGTATCTGTATCTGTCCGTTTATGTCAAGATTGAAATAACTAAGCATCCATTTGGTCGTTTAAGCTTAGAATGGAACTAGGCTTCTTTCTATTTTGTGCATGTATCTGTATGTCTCTATTTATGAAAGCTTGAGATAATTGAGCATGTATTTGTACCAAACCCGTTCCAATTGAATGGTTGTTGTATTTGTTCGAAACACCATTCGAATTGGATGATTGGTTTATTTGTTCTAAAACCCCATTATAATTGTATTTGCTTGGATGGGCTGTTAGTATAGGGATAGTTAGATTAGGAATTTTGTTTTGCCATTTTCTGATTGGTATCTAATTACAGATTTTGTGTTGCATGTCTACATGTTTCAGTGTCTGTCCTATCTGTGTAGTTAGTTTGGGATGTTTTTAGATTCTTAAATAGTGCTGCTTAATATTGTTTATAAGTTTATTTTTATGACTGGGGGAGCAGCGATACTGTCGCAACTGAACTTAGAGTTGTGAACATAACTGAATTGATAGGTAACAAAAGTACTGGGAGAACTTTCATGGGTAAGAATAAGATCGCCATTTTTTTCATCCTCTTAGCTCAATTTCGTAGTTAGATGTCCATTGAAGACACAGTCAAGGTTTAGATTCAATGTGTTTTGTATAATTTTGTTTTTTAGTATTAAACAAGCAAGAAGCCACCTTTCAAGGACTGCAGCATATGTAAGAGTATACGTAAAATTGAAAACCATTTATAGTTAAAAAAAAAAGGGACGGATTAACTAAAGAAAAGTTGAAAATTTTTATCTTCCCCATATATTACTCATGATTCCGACATACCTTATGGTTATACAAAAAACATAGTTCATAAAAATGTTTTAAAACATTTACATGAAGCTATAAGTTTGCATTGTTATTTTGTCATTTTGTTTATTTTTCTAAACATGACTGTGCCGTTACTTTGATAAATTAGCTCATTAACTTTTCAATTTAATTTGCTTCTCCATTTTTTTCTATCTAGATTGATCGAGATGATGTCGCTTCATTCTCTAATACCATACCAGCCAGCAAACAAGCTCCAAATCAGGGTTTGCAGGATGTGGATCACAAAAACCATCGAAGATGACCCTCAGCCACAAAGTCTTGATTGTGTGTTTGTTGATAAACAGGTGAGAATATTTCCTCTTTTTCGTTATCGTAAGATGCTTATGTTTTTTATGTATCCAAGTGTGCATGCTGTGTTCTTGGTACAACAAATTTTGTGGTCAAACATTCTCTAAAGTTTGGGAACTGATTGCTCTATGCAATTCATTGCCGAATTATACATCACTTCCACATGATTAATGTTTGTGTGGTTAATTGTTCTATTGGATTCAATCATGGGCCTTGATATCAATTTTTAAACTGAGCCACTACATTCATGCAAATCCAAAAGAAATCAAAATTCCATCTTCTCCATATAATGCCATGTGATGCAATAAATTTTGTTCTTAGAAAACCAAATTTTAGACTCTGTTGTTGACACTTTTCCTCTCCTTGCATTTCACTACAAAGATTATATGTAATTCTGCTGAAACAATTTTTTTTTGCATGTGTAAACAAAACTAAGTAGAGACAATCAATTCTTCTTTTTCTTAATTTGTTTTGTTTCTTTTTTTTACTCACAAAAATATAATTCAAACTTTATTTATAAGTTTGCTTCACTTGCTATCATTTCAATTCATAAAGTAATCTTTACTATTATGGTGTATTATCTTAAATGCCGCCTCTGTGAACAGAATTGTTCTATCCTCACTGTTTTTTAGCTTCTTAAACCGCATGTATTAAATGTTCTCCCGCACATTTAATAATCTATATTATTTTAATTTTCTCCTTCTAACAGGGGGATGCAGTTCACGCGACTGTGAATGCTCGAGACATTCAATTTTTTTTGGACCTTCTGACAGTCGGCGATGCATACGAGATCACTAAATTTCGTGTTGTTCACAACAGGACATCGAGCAAAGTTGTCCCTCATCCTGCGGCGCTTGAATTAAATAGGAGAACCACATTCGTTCCAATTCACAAAAACAAATCAGGAGATCCCAAAGCAATGGTTCAATTTGATTGACCTTGATCAACTTCATAAGAGAATCAACAACGATGTTGAACTTACAGGTAACAAATTTGGTTTTGCGTGTTGCACTAACATCTAAAATCATCATTATAATTTATTCATTGCCTTTGGTGCGCAATAATTTTCACCGCTAAATATTATTCATAGATGTGTTTGGTTATTTAACAGCTAAATATTGTTTGTAGATGTGTTTGGTCATTTAACGGCTGTGCAGCCGATTGAAGACGTGACTGTCCAAAGCTCAAGAATTGCGAAGAAGAGGAATCTTAACTTGCAAGACATCAGGTCATTCCTATGCGTTAAGTTAAAATTACGCACATAAAACGTCATATTAATGACATAAAACATCACATATTTTTAAACTTACAGGGGCGAAACGATTAGGATCACCTTATGGGGAGAAGCTGCAACAACTTTTGAGGACAGTGGAATAAAATCCCTTCCACCACCTATCTTCCTTGCTGTAACAAGCCTCAAAGTCAAAGAATACCGAGGTTGTACCTCAACGTCCTTTATTTAGCTGCTTAAACCATCTATTGCTCATTCTTATGTTTTATATATAGGAAACCCTGTTCTTGGAAGCACTGGATCAACTGTTTGTATTTTCAATCCAGAGATTCCACAGCTCACCCAATACAAACAAAAGTAAATCGACAACCTTCCTTTAATAACTTTGCTGTTTATATTTCTTCAATTTGTCTTTCTCAACCTAAACATTCATGACAAAGGTTTAAGGATCTGAAATCACCTGTTCAAACCTTACGCACCTCAGCGGAAATGTATGCAGACCGTGCTGTTAGTCCTAATTTTGAGTCCAAAACAATTGATGAGCTCCTTCTACTTGATCCTGCTTTGCACAAAGTTAGTCTCTTATCACCTACTTATTAAGAAAAATCACATCTTTTTAATAATAAATTTTATAACTGCTTCATACTTAGCTATATCTTGCTTTCTTCTATATTCATTTATATTTCATGTTTACAAGACGATGATTAAATGTATTTCATTATTTTAAAATTGTGTGATTCCATAACAGAATGTAAGTTTTGAATGCAAAGCGACTGTCATTGGATTTGATTTGAGTAGAGGTTGGTGGTACAAGTCGTGCCCATTCTGCCATAAAGCTGTCAAAAAAACTTCCGGAGCATTTCAGTGCAATGAACATGGTTCATTTAACAGGTTACCTGAACCATGGTAATTTCTTTTACACCTATTTTACATCTAACTGTTGTATTAAGCTGCTTAGTCATTTTTAAATTTCTTGCAATTATAAAATTTATGATTGATGATGTTTTTGTGGCTATCATATGGTTCCTGTGCTATTTTACTTAAAAATAGTTTAGTTATATTGGTTTTTTTTTTTTCGTTTTGGATTTTGTGATCATTAGCATTCTTACACCCATTATGTGGTATCTGGTTAAATTTGTTGACTTGATGCTTTTGGCAATCTATACTTTCAGAATGTTAATGGTAGTGATAAATGCCTAACCTGAAAATATATAACTCTTCCTTAGGTTCAAAATCAATCTTATAGTGGAAGATAGCACAAATCAGCACAATTTCCTCATGTTAGGAAGGAACGCTGAAAAGATACTTCATGTTTCTTGCCACACTTTGGTAATAGAAGACGGATATGACGATCCCTTCATGGTGCCACCACCTCTAAAAAAATTGGTGGGCGAGACAAAAAGATTTTTGCTATCTTTTGGCAATCAAAACAGTGATTTTAGGAAGACAGACTTCATCATTTATGGATTGCTTCAAGATCAGCTGCCCTTGAACACAGCAATTGCCTCAATCGACCCACAAACGCCTACTGCCACTGCAGGAAAACAAATTATAACTGAAGCGACTCCTGCCCCAGTGACACCTTCCCAGCGGCCAGATCACCATCCCCAATCGGTTGTACCTCTCAAAACTTCAAAGAGACCATTGTTCATTGATCAAGCAGACAAACCAGACAGGTTAAGTTTTCCTCTCAGTTATCATCTTATGTGTAAGTTTTAATAAATATACTTGCTTATCTTGGGTGAACATATGTATTATGCTGTTGATATAAAAATTGTTAGCCAATATTTTTGCTCCAGTCTTTTGACTCCTTTTTTCATACCTATCACAATTCTCTCAGACCTTATAAATTCTACCTTCATTCACAGCAAAAAAACTCGCACTGAGCAAATAGAGGTAACCAATTCTGCTAGAATTGCCAGAGAATTCCACAAACTGGTTGTCCCTAAGATTGAGCCCGCCGATAAAGAACCGATAGCTGCGCTCAAAACAAAGTCTCAAACCAAAAAAACCAAGGATAGGTAAATTACAATTTATTTTTTGCATGCACACCTACATAACATCTGTTATACCAATGTTTACTAAACTATGATTCATGTTTTTTATTATAGTGCTCAAGATGTTCGCCCACCAAAAAAGTGAATGACTACATTCTCCGTGATGAATTGCTACAAAGTTACTCTGCAGTTTTTTGCCTTTAAAACATGTGTAGCTGAAAACTTAGTCAAAACATTTTTTTGAGCTTTTTGTAACTGCTTAAACAGGTTTCTAGGCTGCAGGGCATGTATTTTGTCACCTTAACTATAGGGACAAAATATGTGTGGACTGCATCTTCCTTTTGTAACTAATGGAAAACTGCATCCTGCATCTTTATTCCTTTGAACATTTGGCTTTCTTTTTTGTAACTACTTAAACAGATGCTTAGACTGCAGGTCATCTATTTTGTCATTATAACTACAGGGGCAAAATATGTGTGTCCTCTTTCTGTAACTAATGAAAACAAGCATATTGCATCTTTGTTGCTTTCAACATTTATGCTTGGAAGAATAACTGCAAAAACAAAAACAACCTTATCTTTTTACCTTTCACTCATCTATTCTTTTTATTAGTTCGTGTAGTTAACATTTGTGCATTCAAGTCCCGCAGCAACGCGCGGGCAGTTTTGCTAGTTACAACAATTCTGAAAGGGACTCAATTTTCGGAGTCTTCAGTTATTGTTAACTTTTTTTTAATCGAAAGTTTTTTTTTCACCTTTTGGTTTAGGCTTCTCTAAATATCGAAGCTATATTTAATGATTTCATGTTTTTTTTTTAATTGTGTTACATCTTAATTTGATGGTGTTTACAGAAGGATACATGTAGATGTAGCAACTGTTTTGTAAGAGCCAAAGAAACTGTACATGGGCTTGGGTTAGCAGTTGCTATTTCATCCCACAGATGGAGACGCTATTGATATTGAGTATTCTTCGAAGAAATTCCCCTCTTCAGAGAAGTAATCTGGCAGCATTCGTTAAGCACTTTCCAAGGTACGGACTTCACCAATCCCAGGTTTTAGTTTTATTGAATTTTTAGGGGCATATTCCGTAATTAAAGGGGAAGGAGGGGTCCAATTTGGTTTCGAAATCTTCAATCTGGTCAAATGAAAGAATCAAAATTCAAAGATAATATGCCACCAATCATAGGACTCTGACTTCCAACTCTGCTGCTGCACTGAAAAATCATAGTTTTCTTCATACGTTGGAAACATATTCTTTTGTTTTTGGTTTTTTTTACTAATATTAGTAGCTTTTTAGGGTTTAACTATTTGATTTCACACATTCATTACAGACACAGTAAATAGTTACATTTTAAATTCGTATAAGCATGGAATTTTTGCTTTTGTTTTTATTGTTGTTGCCTTGATTGTGGTTATCTGACCGATTAATACTCCATGATATATTGAGCAATATTGTGCGGCTCAAAGAATTTCGTATGTGTTTATGCGTATTTTTGTACTCTTGGATAATTCTAATCAAATTCCATTGCTCCTAAGCTAAGGTCAGAATTTGTAGCATATAAGGGAAGGCTAGCAGATTCTTGCCAATTATCCAAAGCTGGATATTAAGGTCTTTAAGATTAATATCTTTTTGTATGTGTAGCATCTGCTTGGAAAAGGTTTCAACTTTATTTTTTATTTGTTAGATGATCAATTGATGTATTTTATGACAGTTGATCCGCAAGATATAAACATGATTTCTTTGTTTATGTATACTGTTTAATTATATCGATGGAAATTGGTGCTGCCATTGTGGCAGTATATGAATTTCTGGCTTTTGAGATAAAGTACTAAGAAATTTTGATTTCTTTTTTCTTTACATGCTTTTCTTTTAATTTTGCAGGAATTCTCACGTTGCTTTGATTAAGTTATACATGGCCATGATAAGGTATTGCTCATCCCCACAAACATTTTGTACATGTGTGGCATTAATATATTTTGTTTTCTGATTGAATTTGTTTTCATTCAATGGGGTTGGCGAACTAAACAGCAAGTAGCTTTTTAATCGTGTTGAAATTGAAGTCCTAATTTTGGTAGTTTGTTCATAATTAGTGTGTTATGTTGTTTTCCTGTGTGTTTTAAGTGTTTCTTAACTTATGGGAGTCTTCACAAGAAATGTTTTGTACAAAGATATTTTGCTTCGATCAAATATATGATATGGTTACATTCATTCTTTTAGTGTTTAATTCACTTTTCAAATCCACGTAAATAAATACATTTAAATTGTATAAATCGTGGGTAGAATGCCGTAATTATAAAAGGGCCTTCCGCACGCGCGTGAGCGCGTGCAGGGAGGCTAGTATGGAAATTAATGAAAAGGATTTCAAAACTTTGTATTTTAATAAAAAAATATCTAATAACTTTATTTAATGATAAGGATAAAAAAAAACATAAAATATAAACATGTGTGCCCAACGTGTCCCCCCACCCCCCTTCCCTCACCCCTTGAAATATAACTAAATAAGAAAAAGTACATGAAAATACACATATATATATATTATATTATGTATGAATTAGCTAACTGTAACAACGATGACACTAATTATGTTTTTAATCTTTGGTAGCACTGCAAGAAGCTGTTGAAACTGGTCCCGTACAAGGCTTTGGTAAAAGGCTCAGTTCCATTCTAGCCACCTATCTTTCCGAGAAGTTTGACTCTGGTTTAATTATGTTTTTAATCAATTGTATAACTTGAACGCATTTTTCCCATGTAACACTGTCCACCTTGTTTTTTGGGTTTTAATTTTGCCACTAAAACTAAATTTTTATATGTATTCTTACCTGTTGTGTGTTTTCTATTCGTTGGAAGGTTTATTGTTAGTGTTCTATGGGCTTGTACTGTTTCTAGTTCTGACTTTATTTTGTATGTCTTGATCTCGCTTATGCATCATAGGTATGACATGGAGGCCATCTACTTTGATGAACGTGTAAGGAACTCAAAACGACAACTGTTGGAGTCAAAAGCATTGGATGTATGTCTACTCTCTCTCTCTCTCTAATTTAACAGAGGGTATAGTTAAGTTTTCAGTTTCTTAGACAATTTTTGCAACATAAGGAAGTTGTGATTAGTAGTGGTTCTAGTTAGGTTGTCAGTTTCATATACCACGTTACTGTTGGCCTCAATCTCAGAATGAACACCATTATAATGAAGTGGTTTGGCAACATAAACTTTATCCTTCAAGTATCGCTATCAAAGAATTATGCTTAAATCAACAGCTAAACATCACTACCGGAGCATGACTCCATCTAATTACATTACCAGAAGCTTAAAATCACTAATCTCACTCCGAGAAACTGAGAGGACAAATAGAGCTTGCTTGTTATGTAATACACGAAAAGTAACATTGCCTTCTACCTCAGATTGTCTTCAAAGTTCAAAATAAAACTGGTTAAAGGGTCTGTTGGACTTGATGTGGTCAACTTTGTAAATTCGTTGCTGCCACTAATGCGAATTATTATTTTGTTTAAATCTTGCTTACCTCTGAATTTTCCAGTTTGTTTACCCTGCGTACTCGGCCATGCTCGGACACCTACGTTATAAAGCCCTTGAAGATTTTCAAGTGAGGCTGGAGCAATTGTTGAACAAAGATGAGGGATTTGCTTCATCTGTTCGTACCTGTGCTCAGTCTTCTATGCTTGAGTTCGAGAAAGGATGTGCAGGTAATACAATTTGTTTGGCTAATTAACATGTTTGTCAACCAAAATATTGCTTTCATTGCTTTTAACATGTTTCTCCTTTCAGATGTTGCCATACAACAAGCTAATTGGGATGCTTCAAAAGTCCGGGAAAAGCTTCGACGTGATATAGATGCACATGCATCATCGGTTCGTAGTGCAAAACTGGCAGAATTGAATTCCAACTATGAGGTAGTGCTCTGATAATGTATCAAAGTCGTGGTTATTCTAAGACTATTCTTATGACGTTAGGCTCATAATCTGTTGTTATTCAAATTTCTTAAGGCAAATACCCTTTATTTTTCAGAAAAAACTTTCTTCGTCTTTAAGTGGTCCTGTAGAAGCTTTACTCGAAACTGGTGCAAAAGACACCTGGGCTTCGATACGAAAACTACTTAATCATGAGACTGAAGTTGCAGTATCAGAGTTCTCAACTGCAGTTGCCAATTTTGAGTTGGACAACGAAATGGTTGCCAAAATGAAGCAACATTTGAAGGATTATGTGAGAAATGTGGTGGAGACAAAAGCAAGAGAAGAGGTTGGGAAAATTATGATCCACATGAAGGATCGGTAGGAACTTGTTAAAAATCTTCTGTTCTTTTTTACGTCGTTATTTTGGTTGCTTATCACTTCTGTTGCCATTTCTCAGGTTTGCCAGTCTTCCATTATGACAGCGATTCAATGCCTAGGGTTTGGACTGGGAACGAAGACATTAGAAGTATTACCAAGGATGCACGAACTGCGGTAATCACTGGGAACTTTTGTGGAAGTACATGTTATCTATCTTTGTGACTTAAACAGATGTTTTAGTTGTTTGATCATCTCTTTGTTGCAGTCTTTGAAGCTTTTGTCGACCATGGCTGCCATTCTCTTGGATGAGAAGCCTGATAATATTGAAAATGTCCTCGTTTCTTCTCTGGTACTCAGGAAATTAAGGGAACACTACCTCAACCTACATGCTCCACTCACAAAGCTTCAACAAAAGAAAATTCAAAGAACTTAGCGAAGAAGGCTTTGGTGTAAATTAACATAATACGTTGAAATGAAGGAAAACTTATTTATTGATATCCCCGATAAGCTACAAATATGTACATATACATAAGTCAAAATAAAGAAACAAGAGGGAGCCTTCACAAAGGTTGCTTAGGAGAAGTCTCAACAGTCGGTAGAGCCCCAGAAAGAGAAGGCACCGGAGGGGGATCATTCGGAGCCTCAGTACTGGACAGAACCCTAGAAGGAGGAGGCATTAGAGGTTGATCATTTGGAGCTTCATTACGCGGTACAGCCCCAGAAGACGAAGGCAATAAATGCCTTTGGAACAAACCCACAAATCTCTGATGATCAAGTAAAACCTGACCATCAGATTCCTTCATCTGGTCAAGCTTCCTCTTCATGTTTGTAGCATAGTCATGTGCGAGCCGGTGCAACTGTTTATTCTCATGCTTGAGCCCTCTAATCTCCTGTTTGAGACTCATCACTTCAGCCGCCAATGATTCAACTTGGCGGGTTCGAGCAAATAGGCGTTGGGCCATATTAGACACAGAACCTGCACACTGAACACTGAGAGCGAGAGAATCCTTAACAGCTAACTCATCAGAGCGTTTGGAAAGTAGTATGTTATCTTTGGGAGTGAGAAGGTTCCTGGCCACCACCGCAGCGGTCATATCATTCTTCATCACGGAATCCCCAACGGTAAGAGGACCAATAGGGGAGACGAAGGATGGGCGCCATATGTTGTCTGGAGAAGGCGGGGCTGCCTCTTCAACAAGGTTCAAGTCAAAACGACGGTCGGAGGGGCCAGACATTTTCAAAGGTGTTGAAGAGAGAAGAGGTCGGACAAATCAAGATCTTAGAAGTGCAAGAATGGAGCTTCTACTGGTGGAGATTCAAGTGTGCTTTGGAACGTAATGCCAGCCCCTATAAAAATCTGCACTCGACAGAGCTTCAGAAATCGAAGAGGCGCCTGCTCAGAAATCGAAGAGGCGTTTGCTTTCTCAAAAGCTGGGCTGCTCAGAGACCACGAGGGTCGATCTCAGAAATCGAAGAGGCGTTTGCTTTCTCAAAAGCTGGGCTGCTCAAAGACCACGAAGGCCGATCTCAGAAATCGAAGAGGCGATTGCTTTCTCAAAAGCTGGGCTGCTCAGAGACCACGAGGACCGATCTCAGAAATCGAAGAGGCACCTACTTTTCCAGCCTTGTCAGCACCTGTCACACGCACACTCAGTTTTGCGGAAATTATGGGCATTCTGTCAAAGACTTCTGGTGAAGTAGAAAGCACATGAGTCTTACTGTTCAATCACCCACTTCCCACACGCAACAGTAGCTCATGGGTACCACAGATAACTTTGCCAAAGTTCTCTGCCAAAGTTGAGCACGTGAAGCTTGCAGCTCCCACTACATCGCTCTGACCAAGAAGGGTAAAAGAATAGCAAAGAAACAACACTAACAAAGTTTAGACACATAAATTTTGAAGGTCTAGCTACCATATTATTACCCACAAGGGTAAAGGAACAGTACCACTGCTAGATAATTGGAAAGTCCCTGTGTGTCAACCTCTGTGCTTCGTGGCAAGGTAGATTAGCAAACATGCCCAACCTTTACTCACATTCGAGAAAACACTCCCAACAAGATTGCTTGCTCCAAAATCGAAGAGGCACCGTCCTCCGAATCTCGAGAGTCGGACTCCCAACATGACTACTTTCTCAAAAATCGAGGAGAGGGTAAAGGAACAGTACCATTGCTGGATAATTGGAAAGTCTCTGTGTGTCAACCTCTGTGCTTCGTGGCAAGGTAGACTAGCAAACATGCCCAACCTTTACTCACATTCGAGAAAACACTCCCAACAAGTTTGCTTGCTCCAAAATCGAAGAGGCACCGCCCTCCGAATCTCGAGAGCCAGACTCCCAACATGATTACTTTCTTAAAAATCGAAGAGACACCGCCCTCCGAATCTCAAGAGCCAGACCCCCAGCATGATTGCTTTCTCAAAAATCGAAGAGGCATCGTTCTCCGAATCTCGAGAGCCATATCCCCGATAGGATTGCTTGTTCGAAAACCGAAGAGGCAACACTTTCCCAACTTCAAGAGCCGGATCTCCTTGGATAAAGCTGTCTGTAATCTTCACACGCAACATCTGCTTTCCAGATACCACAGACCACTTTTTCAAAATGTTCTGACAGAGTTAAAACATGTGAAGCTGGCAGCTCCCACTACCGTGCTATGACCAAGTAGGGTAAAGGAATAGCATTACTACTTGTTGCTAAGGAGACTCCTATATATGTCGACCTCCATCCCCAACGGACAGGCAGACCTGCAAAAATGCTCAACCCTTCCTCATATCTGAGAGGGCACTCCCAACGAAGCCTTTCGAAATATTCAGCTTTCTTTCCCCCCGATAATACCTCTGCAAACAAGCTATACTAGAGCAAGAATATCTCATATCATCAGGGTTAAAAGCAAGAGTATCCCATATCATGCTTGTTCCCTGTCTTTTCCTTTGGCCTTGTTCTTATCTGCAAGACAAGGAGAAAGAGAGCAATCAGTCAGCACTTGGAATCAAGCTTCCAGCCAGGAATTGACTGCCTGGAACCCCTTACCTGATTACTTACCTGCCATTGCTCTCGAGTACTCATCTTCAACATCTTATGCTTCCAGGGAAGATACCGCATCTGCCTGAGGAACAGATAGGGCAAGGGAGAAGGATACAAGGAAGCATGTGGAGACAAGCGAAACAGCACACGTGCCGATACATCCATTACTCTGTCAAAGCAAAAGTATCCCATATCGGTCGAACGTACTCTAGATTTGATGGACTTGTTTTGACCCTCAAATTCTTCAGTCGGCCTTATACTCTGGAGGAAACCAGAAAACCCTCCAGCTCAGTTCAAGAATAAGCCTGCGGAAAGTTACTTCTTCAAAAGCAAAAGTATCCCATATCATCTCTTCTCATTTTCTTCTCTTTATCCTTCATGTTGCCTGCAAGATAGGGAGAATGTGAACAATCAGTCGGAGCTCTGATTGCTTACCTTGTCTGTCACCTCTTTCAGCAGATCCCCTAGCTCGGCGACTTGGGGGACTCCTACTACATGGTTTGTATCGCGCTTGACCAAGCCTGAAACTACAAGTAAGCCTCAATTGAAATTGATATATTACCTTGTGCATCTCCATCAGTTAAAGATACTACCCCTGGATGGAGGAAGAGTACTTCCAGAGAAGATGCCATATCTACCTATGAGACAAATAAGGCAAGTCAAGACGAGACCACACTCCGATACTTAGAAGTTTCGTGATTACAAGACCATTCTCCCACAATATTTCCTAATGTCATTTGTACTAAATCATTCACTTGTACTCACTAAAGGAGAGCTTGAACCTATGTACTTGTGTAAACCCTTCACAATTAATGAGAACTCCTCTATTCCGTGGACGTAGCCAATCTGGGTGAACCACGTACATCTTGTGTTTGTTTCCTATCTCTATCCATTTATATACTTATCCACACTAATGACCGGAGCAATCTAGCGAAGATCGTAAAAAGCGACCGTTTTCGCTACCTAGGATCTATCGTGCAAGAGAACGGAGAATTAGATGGAGATCTCAACCATAGAATACAAGCTGGATGGATGAAGTGTAAGAGTGCATCCGGTGTGTTGTGTGACCGTCGTAGGCCACTGAAGCTCAAGGGAAAATCTTATAGGACGGCAATAAGGCCAGCGATGTATGACACAGAATGTTGGGCGGTGAAGCATCAACACGTACACAAAATGTGTGTGGCGGAGATGAGGATGCTTCGTGGGATGTGTGGGCACACGAGAAAGGATAAGATTGGGAATGAGGATATCCGAGGTAAAGTAGGAGTAGCCGAAATTGAAGGAAAGATGAGAGAAAATCGGTTCCGGTGATTTGGACATGTGCAAAGAAGGCATACTGACGTTCCGGTTCGAAGATGTGACTACAAGACAGAGGTTGAGGGCCGAAGGGGTAGAGGAAGACCTAGGAAAACTTTGGAAGAGACTCTAAGAAAAGACTTAGAGTACTTGGATCTAACGGAGGACATGACACAAAACCGAGCGCAATGGCGTTCTAGGATTCATATAGCCGACCCCACTTAGTGGGAAAAGGCTTTGTTGTTGTTGTTGTTGTTGAAACTCCTTACTTATTAAGGTTAACTCTGAACTAGGTTTCTTCAAAGGATACCTTAATTACCCCAGTACAGTGCAAGTCATTGTGGAGGCAGTTCAAAGCAGAGACCGAATATAGCATCACTCAAGCTATTTCGGCACAGGTATACTTAAGTTTAACTTCAGTAGTTTAATTTTTTTATATCGTTTATCAGAGTTGCATCCCGAATAAATGGATTTTTTCTTTTATAAAATGTTCTTTAAAGATTTGGATTATGAAAATATGAATATTGGAACTTGTTCCTGCAAAAGTAATGAACAACTGGTATGAGGAACGTGGAAATAGGTCGCATGATTGTCCTCGGATGACATTTTGGGCGGGAGTTCTTATGTAAATTCGATTTAGCTTAGTAGTGGAACGAAACATATGGAAACACTTCATATTGAAAATCGCGCTGATTCTTGACTTGGGAACGGTTTAGTCAGATAGGACCAACTTATAATCAAGTTCAGTGTATTGTTTTTTCTGCAAAGAAAAATCCTAGCATCCTAATATTATTTTTGTAACGAGCTCCTTATCTTTATGCTTATAGCTCTGCTTGATCATGATGTTGTTTGCTTTTGTACTTTCAGGAGGCTCACAAGCGGAGTAACAACTGGTTACCTCCTCCATGGGCTATAATGGCAATGATTGTTCTTGGTTTTAACGAATTTATGATGCTTTTAAAGTAATTACTTTCGTTCTTTTTTGTTCCCTTTTGCGAGTTTTAGGTTTTGGACATTTTTAAGTGTCCAGACCCTATTGTCTTGCACATCTGTTAATCACCGTGCCATTTTTCTTCAAATGAAACAGGAACCCTCTCTACCTCATGGTTCTATTTGTTGCATTTTTACTGTCAAAGGCCTTATGGGTACAGATGGACATTACGGGACAGTTCCAGCATGGCGCTGTAAGTATAAAACTGAGTTTTTTTTGTCTCACTTAGTAGAGTGCAAAATTGGGATTGAACGTGCAATACAACAGCTGGTGATCCTAATTTGATAGAGACTTCACTCGGGGGTGGCCTTTTTGGTTACAGTCTCTCATCAAATTGTAATTTTCTTGATTGAAGCAGTTTCTAATTTTAGTTTCCGTTGTTTGTTTTTACCAGCTGTCAGGAATACTGTCTATCTCATCAAGGTTTCTTCCAACCGTCATGAATCTTCTAAGAAAACTCGCAGAAGAAGCTCAGGGGAATCAAACACCGGAAGCACAAAGGCGGCCAGTTTCTCTTGCTTCTCAGAGTTATAGAAATGAAACACCTCAGCCAAATCCAGTAACAAGCTCATTCCCGGAGTCCTCAGTGTCATCCAATATCTCGTCATCAGATACCGGCATGGAATACTCAAGCCCTCCTTTAAGACAAAGGCACGGCAAACGTTGAGGAAGTTGAATCTTCATGATGTATGATCTCTGTTGTTTGTACCATGTGCATCAGATTAAGGTCACTACTCATTTGTGCGATAGTTTTCATTCTTTTTTATTTTGTTTCTTGTTTGTAGTTACTGAAAATTTGAAATAAAAATAAACGGGGTTTGCTCTCTTTCTTGACAACTTTTTCTTCATATTAGTATTGTCAGTAAAACAAATGAAAAAAACTTGTGTGGAGCTCAGCTTGCCACTGGACTTTACAGAGTGGTGCTACAATGCACTTGTTATCATTTTTCTATTTTAAATATAATACTATTTTTTCATTCTTCTGTTTTAAATTTTCATAATTATCTTTTCTACTAATTAAGGGTAAATTAATTAGGATCATCTACTACTGATTCATATACACAATGACAATCATATCAGACCGGTAAAACGAGCCCCAGAAAATATAAATTTAATTAGAGCTATGCATAGTCTTGAAAATCATGTAGTATATTACACAGGAAAATTAGAAAAAAAACTGAAATCAAAATATAAAATATAGCACTTAAATCCTACCACAATGATTTTCTCGTGTTCAGCAAAATAGGAATGGTAAACAAAAAGCATTGTGGATGCTAATATTTTATCAATAAAAATGAATTATAGTGTCTACTCTGACTAACAACAAAATTGAATATCACAAAAATATATTAAATTGTCTGTATGTTTGCTTTCTTTTTCTTTTCTTCTACCTTGACAAGCAGTAGCCTGACATTTAGATCGTGGGTGGATTTTCTCAATTAAGATGCAGATGGGGATCAATATGATTTTAACTATGTTTTTGAAATTGAATTTGTTTTTCTTTTCATTCCATGATAGTTGGAGAAGATTGGCTTTTTTTATTCTTCTTCTCGTGTCCTTATGAAGAAAGTAAAGAAACTGGGAAGAAGACTGCAACGGAAGAGAGAAGGAAAAAGAGGAAGGAAGGAGAGGAAAAAAATATGAACAGTTAGATCAATCTCATGGTGTATATTATGAGTAAAAAAGATAATTATGAAAAATTTAAAATAGAAGAATGATAGGATATTATGTTTAAAAAACTTACCATTTAGCGAGTTTTAACTGAATTCTAGTGCCACTTAGCAAAATTCAGCAGAAACTCCACACAAATTTTTCTCAAAACGAAGAGAGTGTACGTTCCGTTCACACTAGTTTTTATCGACGTCTCACTAAAAAAATTTAGTTTTAACTTTTTAAAGAACACCACTTTTGTTACCAAACTACCAGTAAACATCATGTTCAGTTCACCCCATGAAAAGATTCTTTGTTTTTAAAGCTCAACACAATTTAAATAAGGGAAATTTTATTTGAACCCATATTTTGTATCTCAACACCCAGCTTACTTTTTATATCCCTATTGTATTTGATTTATCTATCATTATCTATTTACACCCAACATTATTTCCGAAACCGTCTTTACTTATCAAAACTTAACTCAATCAAACTTCTTTTTACATCCAACTCAATCTACTTAAAAATAAAAAATAAAACCCTAACCAGTCCATCATCTCCATGGAGCAAATTCCCTTCTCTCTCTCTAAAAAAATCCTTCCATCTCCCATGGTATGGTTGTCATTCTACATCCCCATCTACTCCTCCGTAGTCATCCAAACCTTTTCCTCTTCCTTTTCTTCATCATTTGACATCTCTAAATTTCTAAAGCACTAACTAGCTTAATAATCGGTATGAGCTTCTGGTTAGAGTGTTTAATGAGTTTGGTATGTTTCAATTAAATGATAATCTTCTAGACTCTATATTCCTATATGTGGTAGAAAAATGGGTACGTCCATGATAAGTTTTGGTAGATCAATGAATATTTTTAACCGTGGATAATTATTACTTACAAAAGTTACGGACAACAATTCACATTACATTGAATTGTGGCTAAAAAGTATATCGCCTTTGCACGTTTTAAAGGCGAACTCATAGCTAAGCAGTTTTTATTGTGGAGCAAAACTTCAGGAATTGATCTAGCCTGGATGTGTAATTGAGTTTATGCATTTTAATGATTAAACTGATAAATATTTCAATCACATATGGATTTAATATCGTAGTATCTTTTAGCCTCTATATGCCACAAAAGTTGCGGACAAAAATTCACAATACATAGAACAGTGGTTAAAAAGTATATCGCATTTGCACGTTTTATAGGTGAACTCATAGGTAAGCAGTTTTTATTGTTGACCAAAACTTTGGGAATTGATCTAACTTGATTGTATAATTGAGCTTATGCATTTTAATGATTAAATTCATAAATATCTCGACCACATATGAATTTAATATCGTATTGTCTTTTAGCCTCTATATTGGTATCTGTGGCAAAAAATGGGTACATCCATGAGAAAATTTTGTAGATCAATGAATATTTTCAATCTAGATATTTATTAGATACAATAAATTATAAGTCTATTCGCAAAAGTCTAAGTCAATGCCACGTACAATATTTGTTAAGATATATTTAGGGAACTGTTATTACCACTTCAAAAATCTTATTCTACATTTTGCATAAGTGTATTTTTCTTTCTAATTATAGAAAGTTTGGAGTGCCAAATGAAATTTTTGGAGTGCTAATAATAATTTTCTATATTTATATACATTTTATTTTAGTTTAGAAGTTGACTTCCTTTTTTTTTCCTCTTTCTTTATCAAGTTGGGAGTATCACTGATTGTGACCCTGTGCAACTAGTTGTTGATTTGTTTTGAGTAATCAACATTATTTCTTACAATGTCTTGAGCGTATGAATAACAGAAAGAAAAGGGTCATGATACAAGCTCAATAAGGGTAGTACTAATTAGTAAACAACTTATGCATGCTGTTTGCTCATAATCAAGTGGTATGAAGGGACAAATGTGTATGTTTCATGCATGACTTGGAATAGTATTAGTAAAGTCACATGCCAATCAACTTGTTGGCAAGTAGCCATTTACCACAGTGGTGAAAAAGTGTTGTACTCTTGCATGACGGTGTGGGTTCAAATTCTGTCAGTGTCTAATCTAACATCTAACTTACTACTGCTATAGCTCGACTTAAAAAAAAATTGAAATATATGTAGTGGATAAACACAATCTCAAAATTTAATTAAACTCACATAATAACGATAAATAAAGGCATTATCACAACTTGAGGGTGGTGAGCAATCCCATTAAAATAGAACTTAATATATACATATTAAAAACAAAAACAAATTCATGCAAAATCTCCCGACGACTAATACTATTCCAAGTCATGCATGAAACATACACATTTGTCCCTTCATGCCACTTGGTTATAAGCAAACATCATGCATTTACTAATACTATTCCAAGTCATGCATGAAACCTACACATTTGTCCCTTCATGCCACTTGGTTATAAGCAAACATTATGCACAAGTTGTACTAATTAGTATTACTACTATTCAGCTTGTATCATGACTGTTTTATTTCTGTTATTCATATGCCCAAGACATTGTAAGAAATAATGTTGATTATTCAAAACGAATCAACAACTAGTTGCACAGGGTCACACTCAGGGATACTCCCAACTTGATAAAGAAAAAAAAAAAAGGAAGTCGACTTCCAAACTAAAATAAAATGTATATAAATATAGAAAATTGTTATTAGCACTCCAAAAATCTCATTTAGCACTCCAAACTTTCTATAATTAGAAAGAAAAATACACTTGTGCGGAGACTTAGACTTTCGCAAATAGACTTATAATTTATTGTATCTAATAAATATCTTAGTCCCAATTAAGACATAAGAAATTTCGCAACAACTGGCTATATAGATGAGAAAATTATATAGTACGCTACTGATAATTACTTATTTCAATGTACCTTTCCATCTTTTTGTTAAAGAAAGAAAAAAGTGACTATTAATTTTAAAACAATAGAATATTATATTGGCACTCTAAAATTTCATTTTACACTAATTTTTTTATAATATTACTTAATTAGAAAGAAAAATAAAATTGTAAAAAATGTAAAATGAGATCTTATGAGTGGTCATCAGGACAGGACATCTAACATTTTTGGAGTGATAGCATGAGTCATGACTTGGATGAGTGGTGATGTAATTAAATGATGTGAACCATTTGGCGTTTGCATGCATGATGATGATCTTGGCGTTCTGAAGCGAAGAAGTCGTCGATATTAACAGCAACTGCAAGTTGCTGCAGATCAGGACATATGTTATCTACATCCCCAAGTGAATGAGAAAATTCAACAACGGCAAGTTGCTGATGAGGAAAGCGTATGCAGAGACTTGGTCCAAATGTAAAGTTGGTGTGAGAATGTGAGGACAAAAAGAGACTAAATTGTGTAATTGCTTATTAAGAGATTAGAGTACTTCTTATATTGTCAATTGATTTTACAAAAATACCACTCTTATCATATATTTGTATCATTATTTATAAGGAAAATTAATGAAAAGAGTTTGAAAACTTTGAGTTTTGATGATAAGGACAAAATAAAGGGTAAAATGAATAGTACCATGATTGACTTTTTAGTGTAAAAATATGGTTTTTCGTTAAAGTGAACAGTACCGGGAGCTTTTCGTTAAAGTTCCGTTATTTATATCCTCCTTCTAATAGAGATAGGATTCACTTGCATTGGTGGACACTACCATTATTAAAGAGATAATATAAATAATGGTATAAATAGGTTACACTAGGTAGTAAGTATAACATTACTTTTAATTTTATGATAAAATCTCAACTTTCTTGAGAAAAGTGTACGATACAAGTCGCATCTTTTATAGCCACCCTTCTTTTAAGGACAATTCTAGAATTGTACATAAATATTTCAATACTAAAGCAGCTCAATGTGTAATATTACAGTATACAATTCAACTAATATGATCAAAGTCTTGGCCAACTCTAGGTGGGAAATTAAAAAAGTGGCCGCCATTTGATCATGCAACTTGGACAAAATATATTATAGGGCAAATTACATAAAATTACCTTAATTATCGGTCGAACCACAATTTTATAGCTCATGTTTTAAACATTTCAATGTCATACCTTAACATATGATGATGTGTAAGAGTGGGATTCACTCATTTGCCACCTTGAATAAAAAAATAATAAATTACTAATTCTTAATTAATAATTAAACTTAATTAAAAAAAAAAAAAAACTCTCTTCATTTCCCCAGAAAT